TATCATACGCGATCAGGAACCCCCGATTTTGACCCGTTAAAACATAACAATCCTGGTAGGTATGATAAACGCCGGAAGATCCTACAGTTGTTAGTCTCCGATTCCTACCCCGCTTCCGCTTCCGCTTCCAACTGTAACCGCCCCGCCCCCCCCCCCTGGGTAACCCACGCGGGAACGCAGACCGCACGGATGGACTCGAAAAGAGGGAAGGCTCACGTGGCCGGTGACGCGCAGCCGGTCGGTGGCGGACGGCCGGTCACGGGTTAGAAGCCTGAGACTTAGAGGTAAAACCGGACGGAGTTAGCAAAAAGCCGTAAAGGGAAGGGAGGCGAGTCTGCCTCTCGTTTACTGGAACGGGGCAGGTGCCCCCGGTCTTAACCCCTAAGTGGGACGCCAGGACACCTGTCCCGCTACAGTAGCTGTTACTTACGGTATACCAGCTACTGTGCTAAATTGGCTAATTTGTGCCATTAACTACTAATTACTAATTACTTACCGTTCGGATCCTACACGTGTAACCAGCGGGGTACCACTGTACTCCGCACCGGCCGTGTGCTGTAAATATAACTCCTTACAGTTCTTCTCGCGCTTACAGCCCATCATACTGTATCCCGGGGCGGCAGCGGTGGTGCGATTGCCTTCGCGCCGTTGTACTACAGACCCCCTTCCTTATTTCGCGACACGTCCCCGTCGCGGCGGACTAAAATCCGTGCCAGCTGTGACGTACTCTATCCCGAACGGAGACCATGCGTCGGCCGCGGAGACGCGGCCGTACAGTAGGTACCTTCCTCGGGTCCTCACCCGCATGCACACCCGCAGCGGCGGTCATTTCCCGACCCGCGCGGAGGAGTTCAGCGCTCCTGCTGCTCCCGGTTCCATTTGCGGTACGCCACCGTTCGGACTGGGCGGCTTCAGCCTGCGCCGGGTCATCGAACAACCGGCGCAAAGAAGCGTTTTTCCAGGACCCCCCCGGAAGGCTGGCCATTTTTCCAAGAATTCCCCTTCGATTTCCTCCAAAACCCCACGGGTACGCCACCGCCAGCCCCGCAGCGGTACGTCCCAGACCTTTCCCCGGGCGTGCAGTACCTCTGTCGTCCAAAACACGAGCAAAAACCCCACGGTAGTCCCTTTCCCGAACGGTTCCTATTTGGAAACCAATAGAAACTGTAAAAACAGTCAGAAACGGCATAAACACGTTTCTGTTTCCAAATACTCCCAGGTCGGTGACGACCTCAGGAGTCTGGAACCGTTCTCGGATATGGGCTACGATTTTTATTCGCCCTTCTAGAGGGGAAATCGTAGCCCTTCTTCCAGTACAGTGTTCTTTTGAAGAACCGATCGGGAACTCGGGTTTACAGGTACAGCGGACGGACCCGCTGTACCTTCAACCGTCCGGATAGGCTCGCCGTTGCGGTGGGGCGTCTTCCCCCGGCGCCGGGCATCATCAAACCGGCGCCAAAGAAGCGATTTTCCCCCACCCCCCCGGAGGGCTGGCCGTTTTTCCAAAAACGGTGCCCTTTCACCCGCGAGACAGCGGGGTGTGTGACCGCCAGCCTGTCCGTGCGGTCAGTGGGGAGCTCCCAGCGGCGGTACGCTCTGCTGTTCGTCCAAAACCGGTCGGTAAGTCCTGCCATTGTCACTTTCCGCGGAGGCCCCGATTTGGAAACGAAAGGAAACTGTAAAAAACGAGCAGAAACAGCTGTTTACAGTTCCGGTTTCCAAATCAGCTTGGGGCTTCCCAAAGTCGGATTTTCCGTCTTGGGACCTCCGGACGCGGGCAGACCCGGGGAGTACAATGCCGTTAACGGGAAGGGGCTACGATTTTTTCCCATCCTTCTAGGAGGAAAAACGTAGCCCCCTTTTGGGCTTAATTAAAAGCCGGCGACCGGAGTCGCCTCCTTGCCGTCCAGGGCCCTCCGCGCCGGGTTAATCCGGCGCGGGGCAGCGGTAGCGCGCGGTTGCCCACGCGCTCTTGGGGTGGCGGGTTACCGCGACGGGTGCGGCCTGTGGCCTACCCCCGGGGTCGCCCGTCGGGGTGAGATCTTCCCGACCGCCTGGTCGGGGGTACCGCTGCGGGTTTCCCTCCGCGCTTCCATGTCGGGTTGACGCGTACCGCGGCCCGACGGGCGGGCGACCGCACTATCGTCGTGACGGGTCATTGCGGGGGCGGGTTCCCGTTCCCCGCGCAACACCCGGTGCGCGTCCCCATTACCGGCTTGGGGCGGAACCGGCCTTTTCCTTGGTAATTTCCGCCTGCTTTTTCCTTGGGGCGGGTGGTTTCTCGGCGGTTTGACGAGCTCCGATTGGGTACCCCCCGAGGATCGGAGGCGTCTTGAACTGCCGCCATGGTCCAGCGGCCACACGTGCCGGGCGGTGTATGCTGCTCGCGCAACTCGTGGTCCACAGTGCCCTGGAGCCCCGGCGAGGTCGTGCCCGTACAGTATTTACGCGGCCGGGTTCCGTCTCTCGGCGGCGGGTATGCACCGGGGCGCCAAGCCGTTTGACCACCACTGCGTCAAGTCGTCCTGCCGACGGGTCAGCTTCCCCCTCCGCGCCGGTCCCTCCGGTACGGCTCGGGCGGTGGCACGCAGGGGATCGGCGTGCGCCGTAAACGGGTGGTGGCCGCCTGGAGGAGCCCCTCGGCGGAGTCGGCCCCCATCCGCGCCGGGTATTCCGGTGCGGGGTTTGGGGTGGCGCACGCGGGGTTCCGCGTGCGTCGGTGGCGACCTCGCCCGCTCCTGCGCCGGGTCCTCCGGCGCGGGGTTTGCGGTGACGCACGCGGGGTTTCGCGTGCGTCCGTGGCGATTGGTTGCCTCCTGCGCCGGGTCTTCCGGCGCGGGGTTTACGGTGACGCGCGCGGGGTTCCGCCTGCATCTGTGGCGACCTCGCCCCATCCTGCGCCGGGTCTTCCGGCGCGGGGTTTACGGTGACGCGCGCGGGGTTCCGCCTGCATCTGTGGCGACCTCGCCCCATCCTGCGCCGGGTCTTCCGGCGCGGGGTTTACGGTGACGCGCGCGGGGTTCCGCGTGCGTCTGTGGCGACCTCGCCCCCTCCTGCGCCGGGTCTTCCGGCGCGGGGTGGGCGGTGACGCACGCGGGGTTCCGCGTGCGTCTTTGGCGACCTTGCCTCCTCCTGCGCCGGGTCCTCCGGCGCGGGGTTTGCGGTGGCGATTGGCCGCCGCGCGGGGGAGGTCCTTCTCGGGATCGTCCCGCCCCGCGCTGGGTTGCCCAGTGCGGTGTTAGTGGTGGCGTGTTGCCGCCCGCGTGCGCCAGAAGCGGTCTATGAAGGCCTGGGGGAGTCCCTCCGCGGGTTCCCAGGTATCGTCCGCTGGGGCGTAGCCATACCAGCGGACCTTGTACTGGGTTCCTGTGCGGTTCTCTCGGTGACCGACCAGATGGTCAATCACATACTCCGCGGCGGGTTCGGGTTCTCCGCCCGCCGCGGGCTGGGTCGCGGCGGCCGCAGTGACGTCGCGGGGTCCCCGCGGCATCCGGGTTATCCGGTCGATGCTCACGCGGTTTGAAACCCCGTCTTGATCGACGACCACTGTGGTCTCCGTAGCGGATCGGACCGGAAACGGGCCTTCCGTTTTCGGTAAAAGCTTGACAGAGGGTCCCCCGTCATTGCTTGGCAGGTCTCCCCGTTCGGTACTCGTCAATGGCCGAGGTGGGCGGTCGACATAGACCCGGTCTCCCTTCTCGATGACCGGACGGAAACGCACCTTCTTATCGAAGTCGGCCTTGTATCGCCTTTGCGCCGCGGTTAGTTTCACCCGCGTGCGCTCAAGGGCGTCGCGGAGTTTACGCAGCGTCGCGCGCTTGTACTGTACCGGGGTCCTCGGATCTTCCGTGTTGGAGACGGCATCCTGCGGTACAGTACCCGGTAGGGCCAAACCGGACGGTGGTCGCGTCAGCACCAGGTCGAACGGGGTTGTCTCCGTCGACCGGTGGACCTGCGTGTTATACGCGAAGGTCAGGGGCTGGATGTATTCGTCCCAGTCCCTCTGATGCTCCGCGACATAATGTCGGAGGCGCTGTACCAGAGTACGGTTGAACCGTTCGGTTTGTCCATTTGTCTGGGGGTGATAGGCGGTAGTCAGGTAGTGCCTCACCCCCAGCAAGGCGCACACCGCGTCGAAGAACTTGGCGGCAAATTGTGGTCCGTTATCGGTTAACACGTAACGAGGTGCGCCGTATACGTAGACCCAATTGTCCAGGAAGGCGTTTGCCACGACCGACGCGGTGGTTGTCCGTAACGGGATGCTGCGCGTCAGCTTCGTAAACCGGTCGGTCATGACGAGCACGTGGCGATTCCCGTGCGCCGTCTTCAGTAAAGGACCCAGCAGGTCCATAGCGACGAAATCCAGCGGTCCTGCCGCTGGGAAGAGCTTGAGATCCTTCTGGTGCCTCACCAGGGTTCGCCGGGTGGCAGCGCATGACGCGCAGTTCCGTACGGTACTGAAGGCGTCGTTGGCCATATGAGGCCAATAATATTCCCGCCGGAGGGTATAGTACATCCTCGTACCGCCCGGGTGTCCGGCTAGGCGGGGATGATGGGCGAGGTACAATATCTTCGCCCGGAGCCGCTTCGGTACAACCCGCTGCAGGGTCCCATCGAGGGGGGACTTGCGGACGACGAACCCGTATCGGTCAACGTCGTACCGCGAGTCCGGGTTCCCTACAGTCTCGGCGGCCGCCCTACAGAAGGGGTCCTCGGCCTGTTCCCGAAGGAACTCTTCCACCGTTACGGATGAGACGTCGCGTTCCTCGGGTATAACCGCGAACGCGTGCTCAGCTCTCCCCGGGTCGACGGGGGTCTCCCAGTGTACGGTACCTTGGCGGGGGTTATGCTCCTCCTCTCGCCATTGTACCGCGAAACACGGGACCTCGTCGTCAACCGGTTCGGAGGTTGCGCCGTCAACTCGGAGGCGTGATACACCACCCGCGAGTTGGTGCTTAATACCCGGCCGGTACTGTACGTCGTAGTCGTACTCGGCTAGGCGGAGACGCCAGCGCTCTAGCGGGCCGGAGCTATTCGCCAGGTTGAGAACTCAGCGGAGGGCCTCATGATCCGTACGGAGGTCGAACGTATTCCCATACAGGTATGGTCGAAGCGTGAGAATACTCCATACGACGGCGAGGCATTCCTTCTCGGTAGTGGTGTAGTTCCTCTCCGCGTCCGTGAGAGCGCGGCTCCAATAACCGATCGGTAGGCGGTCGCCGTCCGGCTGCTCCTGTAGTAGGGCACAGCCGACCTGGTACGCGCAAGCGTCCGTATCCAGGGTGTATTTTTTTCCGTAACGGGGTAGAGCGAGGATCGGTGGGGACACGAGGCGCTTCTTTAGTTCCACGAACGCCTCGTATTCCTCATCGGTAAGAACCTCAAACTCGAAGGGTTGATTTTTCCCCGTCTTCCGGTTAAGCGGAGCGGCTATTTTCGCGAAGCCCTTCACGAACCGGCGGTAAACATTGCACATTCCTAAGGATGACC